ATCCTCTTAGGGTATTCTTTAGACCATAATTTAATCAGTGAGATTAAAGTAACCAAATAACAGCTCAAAACGGATAGTAACTTTAAATTACAGTAGAACTTTATAAACAAACAGTTATATCCATCACATATGAAAAACAGTTATCAGTATACGTCAGTGCCACAATTAGCCTCCAAACCGTAAAGTAGTATGTTAAGCAATTAAAAAACATCTAATAAGCTTTATCTTTGAAGTCAGTGAAATTTCAGTACTTATAAAATACACAAATACATGTACAAGTATTCATAAGTTTTTCAAACCACTTTGAAAACAAGTGAGTCAATTTAGCAGTCAGTAAACATGCAAATGTGAACTGAATAAAACTATTAATTATTTGACAAAATAACATATCAAACGAGCAAAACGGAAGGTATTGTTCGAATGTCAATATATTTATTGAAGCAATCAATGTTTTGAATAAGATTCCACCAAAAAAGATCACTAGAGGCAACATAGTTATTTTAGATTAGTCTTATTAAATGCTCTATAACCAATAAAATTCATGAATAACAATATTATAATAGGAAAGCACTTATTGTGATTCTTTTGGTTTAATGAGAAAACTTGGGTATTGCGTCGAATAGATGCATACTTGGCAACTATTCTATTCTCATAACTGGACAATATATGTAAAAGTGAGCGATTCATTGATAATAATATGCTACCAGGTAACTGGTCCTCTTCCTTCTCCCAAATGAATCTACCTCCTTGAATAAATCTATTGTTAATTTTCTGAAACTGTGCATTATGTTCTCATGCAGCGTCGAATCAACAATATGCTCTTCTAGGATAAAGTGTTTTCTCGTAAGTAACGGAAGGTAATTTACTTTATCCGGAATGAATACACTTTTGGAAGCCCAATTTCATTTAGATTTGCGAACAAAACTGTCAGATTTGTTATATGTGGAGGAAAAAAGTGTACTTGTCTCAGTATTGATTTGTTTGGTCTTCGGACTATTGTTACAATTATCTGATTAAACGAGGATAGTTATCACTAGCTGGTACAGTTCAACTCTTTATCCACTAAATGTAGTGTCTGAGACAAACAAAGAACTCTAATATACTAAAATTATTTAAAACTGTTCAAGTTTTTTGTAAAAATGATGTTCACATCATCATGCTCGGTGCTTATTTTAATTCTTAAACATAAATTGATTAAATGGATGTAATTTAATTTGGAAGCTTGTTGAGATTGGCTTATTTTAAGTTGAAAATCGTTTAAAACCTAAAGCCACTGGACAGCCATTTCTTCCTAGGATGGAATTTGCCAGCAATGTGTACCAATAACCTCACCAGAAATCCAAGCCTAGACTTTCAGATTTTGAAACTAGTATGTTGTTATTGAGCCAATGTGTTGGGGTCTAATGGATTTTATAAAAACCGGGAACTAAATCTTAAACACCACTGAAATAGTCATCTGGAGGGTACTTTATCATCTCAAGAATTTTATTACTTCTAAGTTTGTCATAAATTTAGACGCAGCACCAGATCAGGAATTTTGCAACACATGATGATAAATATAATATAAATCATTTGGTCTGGAAATACTGAAGTTTTACGCTTTATCTTTTCGGAATTATTCATTCTGAATCGGGAATTACCTTTACTTCTGCAATAAGAAGAAAATAAAATTATGTGCACACAATAACCAGAAATCAATGCAAAAAGTGTTGTCATATATGTTTGAACAGAACATCACTATTAACATGTTTATTTGTTCAATAACACACTTTTTTTTCTTATTATTCACGTGCGAATACTGAAAAAATAAATGTCTATGGAGTCTTTCTTTAAAAAATATCAGATTACTGGCTTAATACCACAGTCCGCTTCACCTTGTCAAACGGAATGATATAACAAAACAAACATGATTATGTCTTCAAGAATAACATAAATATCAAAATAGGTAAAATTTTCTGTTGCAACTGATGCTAAGAAGATGGATTCAGGAGTTTATTGACTCTTTAAGACTCGAACCAAAAAACACAATATAATCAAAACTTGTTCGAACAAAAAAATTTCCTCGAATGATTGCTTTGGAAAAATCTACCTAAATGTTGCTTATTAATAACTAAAAAACATATTAGTTTAAAACGACATATCAACTTTAAAATGAAGAATGAGTACTGAAGAGGCAAATTTGATACCTCAAATTTCATGTTTAACCGATTTGTTCAGTGTTTTCGTGTGTATGGAATTCTGTGATAAACAGTAGCAACTTTTAAGTCCATTTTTAAAGCACTGCCATGGTATGAACGAGTTTTTTGAGTCAGATAAATCTGCACCAAAAACATGTTATTCATTAAGTATAGTCCTACTAGAAGTAGTCTTAAGTTAAAACCTCCGTTACATAATAAAATATATCAACAAAACAGTATAAGACTGCTTTGACGCTGAAATGAAGCTCTAGGGATCTTTTTTGTACACACAGTATTCCGATTTGAGATGAAGAACACTTATTCTAGTAATGTGTGTAACAAATTTGAATAAACTTAAACTTCATGCATGATGACGTTTCGGTTCCATTTTTAAATATTTACATCAAAGATTCAGCACTTCTATTCCCTGATTTGAAGTTAGTGAGAAGCGGGTCCTATTAGATGAAGTGAATTTCAATGATGAATATTGCTCAGTAATAAAAACTTCTGAGTGAAAGTCGATGATGCCTTTATTTCAGCTCATTCCATTATTTCTGTCTACTCTCATGTTTCACCTTTTGTTTTTTGTTCATCTTCCTAATTTTAAATTTCTTGTTTGATAAAAAACTGAACTGATCACAGAATGCATTCCACCCTTTCCACATTAAATTAAATATGACTAGCTGTAGGAAACGAAAACTGTGCGTGTAGGCGACAGAGTTGTATCAACCGGAATATGAATCTCTTCTGAAATTTGTGTCGTTTTTTGACTAACCTGTGGTGACGAAGTCATGAGCGTAAACTGATGGGGAGGTCTTTACTGGGACGAAGTATCCATCCAGTGCTGTTAAATTCTCAGTAGTCCATTAAGTGATATCAGTCTGGGTTGAATACCAACTCAAAAAATATTTAAAAAACTCTAGCTAGGATAAATGTTGACAATATACAGTGATTTCAGTCCCTTAGAAGTTATAAATACTTAATAGAACTGTGTTCAAAGGAATACAAAATGTCAAAATGACAATGTCATATGTATCATGTGGATTTATTATACCAGACAATTTCCACAGGTGTTTCATAGACACCCTACACGTAAAAACGTATCGAATGCAAAATTAACGCAGTTGAAGTTATACTTTATGCAGTTAAAGGCATATATACTGATTGCCAATAGATCGCAGACAATAAATGACAAGCATATTGTTTATGAGCAAAAAGTTGCAAATGACTGCTACATATATCACAAAGATTGTAAGTTGTCAGTATTTGGTTTTTTTATGAAACAATGATCAGCTGAAAGTTGTACATTAGTAGGATGAACATTTTTTGGGGCAAATAAGAAGAAGAAGACGTTTACACTGTTAGTCTTCCTCAATCATCACGTGTACAACCTACTATTATTTAGATACTTTTCTCATATTATCTACATTATGGTCAATATGAATGAGCAATATCTAATAAACAAACAACTTCCGTTATTTTCATCGTCAATATCATTTACTGAACTTAAAATCACTTCGGTTATTCTAGGTGAATAAGCAACAAACGGCTAATAAATTCACAAAACCTAAATAATGCATCACACATGGATATGCCTGAGTAACTCGATGACGACTGAAGGGGAATGAAAACGTGGGTAGCTGGCTGCCAGGTTAATAGCTTATTTTTCAATACCATGACTGTAGCTGATAATTTCAAAGATACATGCCTATTCTACGATATGTTATGATCAACGCAAAATACTGCTGCAGCACCAGACGAGATAAAAATCAAAGACCACATTTACACTGTGTAAAGTTAATTTCGAACAAATAGTTGTTGTAAATAAGATTTCATGACTATAAATCTCTTAACAGTGAGCACACACAGTGAACGACATAAGAATGTTATCTTAACAGAAGTGTACACTGTAATCAAAGCCATAGCGTTAAAACTTGTCTTATTTATGGCAAAAGAGCCTTATTTTCAGGCTATTCGCCGAATAATCATGAATTATGAGGCGAATGGAAAGTCAAAGAGAGGAAGAAGAAAACATACCTGCATATACATCCATACTATTGTCAGGTTATATAAAAATGAAGGCAACATTTCCGATCAAATATTCTCAAGCCAATTTTTTTCATATGACTTTAATTTTTATAATGTATATTATTTGAATGAAATTTAGACTAATCCCTAGCTGTTTTATTTCCCCGCACTGAGTAGATTAAGTCCTATTTATTGGATATCATTAAAAAATTAGCATTTATCACGCTTTATATATTGAAAAAGTTATTCTAGGTATTAAGAAAAGGAACAGAAATATCAGTTGCTTTGAGATATGCTACTATACCTCTAAAATAAGTGGACACATCCTCTAAACTGAGTTCTCACTCAATACTATTACACAGAAGTGGAAATAACACATTTGATCTTCCACATATGTCCTTCAAACCGACTGGGACTTTTCTGGTTTATATATCCTGAGATATATTTAGAAGTTTTGTTAACTGTGTTATTTGCGAAATAGATTTCAAAGCAGTTGTGATATAATGTCAGCTTGGTGTTAGTACTTTAAGAAAACTCAATAAATGAATAAATGAGCAACTTGTGCTAAACTATTCAAATACTAAAAGGACAATACGTTCACATTGAAACCTGTGCTTGTTATGATAGTAGTGAGTATAACAGCGGTGAAAATCAAAAAGTAGCAGTAATAGAAACAGACGAAGGAGTATCATTACTTTTATTTTATCATGAAACCAGGAATGAATAGTGAATTAATTTCATTTACAATTACTTTTCACTAGTAAACGTACAAGAAAACAACTCCAAGGAACTCACCAAGATCAAGACTTCTAAGTCTCCAGTGTTCAACATCCTCTTTATAACCTCTCATATCCCTCAACAATGAATATCGAATGTTATATCCATTAGCATGTTTTCGAAGTGTACATAGAGCGTATAGAGTACAAAGTATGTGTAGCATTTCCTTTTTTTATCTTATTTGATACCATAAAAAATTCAATACTGTTTAATTTTTCATAATTAATTTTTGCACATGAGAAATTCAGCAAATTTAATGTGAAAATAATTAACCTACTTTATTAATTTTGTGTTATACACAAATTAACCAATCAAAATTCAACTCACATGAATGAAAAACTGTTTGCGTATTGGATGAATTTCATTTTTTGCCTTTTTCAGAGGTAATTCATTTAAACTTCATTTATAACTTGTATCTACTACCTAATAAAAGTTCTCATCTATGTATCATTCACTGAAAGTTCCTAGGATACATACCAACTACCATTGCATTAAAAATTGTATAGTGATGTTCTGGAAATAAAAATAAATGCACGAAGCAATAATTCATAGTTGACAATGAACAGCTATCTCATGTCATTGTCCATTTTTTATCGATTTTCAGTCCATTAAGTGCAGTTTATGTCATGAATGCATAATAAAACGCTGGGCACGGTAACCTATTCAAAAAAGCATCTTTTCAGCCGGTAATACAGTAAAGGATGCATTGATTTTACTAACCTCTCTGAGATATTTTGTCTACTAATGAACATAACTCACAATTCACTTGATAACTGAGTAGATAAGTGAATCGTTGAAACGAGTACTTATCACAAACCATTTCAATTTTATTTCCAAATTGGAGTTTTTTTCAATCTTCACTGTTGGTTGAAACAGTTCACGTTACAAATATGAAACATGTAGCTCAATAAGATGATTTCCATGCTTCCTGTATTTCTATAATAAGTTGTTTATTATCATTTTGATTATCAAATTACTGAGACATACCAATATTCTTTTTATTCCCTCTGTTTAGAGTTATATATTTTAAGTTTTAATTCTTGTCTATAATTGTTCTGCTGAGCTAACAGAAGTGGAGAAACAAATTGTCTGCCTGGATAATCCTGTTGACTTTAACGACCGATGCAATGATAAGTTTTTCGGATGGTGTTTGACTGAGCCTACGCAGTTCATAGTATTTTGCATAGGAAGTTTTGGGGGATTTGACATAATGTGAAGAGACTTAGAAAGTCTCCAAACTAAAATGACCCTAAAAGGTTTTGTTTGTTTGGATATCTTTAAAACGTCCATAGAAGATGAGTGATTTGTTAGATTAGATTTTAGACATGGTGCTATGCTTGGTAATGAATTCAGTGAACAAAGTTTGGTAATACTGAATGTTCTTCTGTGACGGAAGATGTTGAAGTCTTGTTACTTGGTTACATCACCCTAAATCAATTTCATTTGTCAGTTAATTTGCTCTCATCAAGTTACGTTATCTTTCATTCATATCGAATATTTATAACTAACTGAGCCTAACTCACAATATTTTGTATGTCTGGCTTATCTAACATATGACCCACTCACGTAATCTTTCAATGTTCAGTCCCTATATCTGGACTCCTGTAGTTATTTTTATTTCAAAGACTTCTATTGTATTATATATGTATGCATATATAATTGGGATAATTTGATTCCGCTCATTATTCTTTATTTAATTTGCCGTCATCTTTCAACTTTATACCTATTTCTGACCGTCTAAAACAATGACCAATATTCTGTTTTCTTTCAGGGAATTAAACAAAATGTGTTGAATGTTCAGCAAAACAAATATTCTAGGTAGCAAACAGTTGACAAAATATCTTCGAAATAAAATGGCTCCGTTTTATCATGCCTTCATTGTTGTTATCGCGCTTTTCGAACCCCTAAAAAAGAATTCATGTATGTAAGGTGCTTCCTTTTACCCTGGTACACTTAGGACTGAAATAAGTATGCTGCTAAGATTTTTTTAGTCTTAAATGTGCTTTGAAGCCATCTTGCATGGGTTTCATTAGAAAATCCAAGGAGGCTTATCCCTCATATAACCTACAAGAATAAACATACACTGAAACCCCTGCCAAATTAAGTGAAGATGATGAAAACAGATATTATGATGAAATATTTTGGTGGTGTGTTTACCAAATAGAGTTCACTGAACACGAAATCAATATCAGAATCACCCATACTCAACCTAAAAACTGTCTGGATATCAGTTTTAATGAAATATGTAGGATAGTAAGTATTTGATACAAGAAAAGCAATGGGACAGGATGAACTAGGCTTAAGCCTGATCATAAAGCTTGCACTCCACTTAGGTGACCAACTGACTACTACATACATATATATATAATGTCTCCCAGTCAAAACATACTCGGATAGTACCAATCAAAGTACAGACCGGTAATATTGTGTATTGCTGTAGTTAAAATCCTAGACAAGTTAATCGAGAAGGCCATAAAGTTTGGCAAGATATCTACATAATAATTTCTCGTTTGCTTCACGACCCTCGCTAAAATTTTCCGCTTGACTAATGTCACAGAAAGAAAAGTTAGATAAATTCTAAGAATCACTGAAAACCTTTGGATACTTTTCTTATAAATTTTAGCAAAATGTTTGACAACATACAGTGCTCATAGTTTCTCATCAAGCTGAAAATCCTCGGAGTCTCCAGTAAACTCCTTTCATTGACCATGGTTTTTTGGTGGTATGAAACAGAATAATAATTATTTTACGATTTTTTTCCAGGAAGCGGATAAAGAGCAGAATACTACAAGACAGTCTTAGGTTTCATGTTTTTCTTGCCATACATAAATGAACTGCTGGTCAGCGCAAACCTCTGATTATTACCTCTCCTGATAATGAATAAATCTGAAAAGAATTAAAAGATGATAATAATATGGTCACACCATGCAGACCTAAACGGTCTCTTAACCTTAGTAGATAAATGGTGAATCCCGATGAACACAGTCAGGTATCTCAGCTTACACTTAGACATGGAGACGGTAACATCCACGATATTCGTGAAACTTCAGAGCACTTATTATTTAGGAGCCGTAGTAAGTCACATCTTGAAAATTTCATTTCACTGCGGATCAAAAATAACTAAGAGTTTCAGGACAATTTTAGCAGTTTATAATACTTCACTAGGTTCAGTAGCAAAATGTTCGCAACCAAGTTAACAACCAAACTGGATACCTCTACATTAGTGGCGAACTACTCGTATGACCCCTTCGATAGATAACCTAACTGGTTTGTCTTCTGTTTCTTGTGTTACTATGTTGGAACGCTTAAGAGGACATAACAAAACAGAATATATAGACCAAGGTTTCAAGTCACCGCTATGAGGTACTGACTTTTGTATCTTATAGGCAACTCTTGTAGCGAAGTTTAGGAATAAGTGATCATCAATTGGATCAATCGGGAATGCAGAGGATGAACACAGAGATCTACTAGACAAAGATTGGCATACGCTCATAAACTTTTATTCTCCGAACCCTAGATTGGGAATCTGTAAATAATCTTTCAAAAGGGTTATTATTAGACAATTTTGTTCTTTTCTCCAACAAAATGACTTACTGCATAACATTTCTGCTTCTTAAATGATATTCATGCAGGACTGTTTTTGTAGGTTTTGACCTGTTTCTACTCTATTTAAGAACGTGTTCGCTGTGCAGTGTTTTGTTTTGCATGAATTATTAATTTTGTTGGACTTGGTTACACTGATCATAACCTGTTGAGGTAAAACCTAATCGTTGGATTTCTCCACTATAAAATAAATTTGGCTTATAATGTTTCTGAATAGTTTATGTTCTTAAGTTGATGATCAATGTTTCGTCTACGTAGCTGACTCAAATATTCTGTCACAAAACTGTTGTGATTATATGACCTTCAACTTCAACATTAAAAACTTCCAGAATCCTCTCGGACATCACTGATATCATCTGTATTAATTGACCTATTTGTAGAGTGAATGATTTCGTTAAGTCATCCAGATTAAAGTTAAAGTTCTCTATAGAGTAGTGAACTGCAACCTAGCAGTAGCTTGATCCAAAGCTGAAGAGGTCTTTCGTAGCGTAGAATTGTTATCAAATTCAATCTATAGAACAAATGCTGATCAGATCCTTGCACTATATTCACCAAAATACAGTGAGGCGAAGCTTAACAAAAAAAGAAATGTTGGCATTGATAAGTTAAAGTTCATGTGTAAATTTTTGAAGGAGATTTCAGCCACAATGACAATGTCGTATGTATTAAATCTGAAAAAGGCAACTGGACAATAGTTATCATTAGGGTAGACTACTTAACGAAAGTCAATACACATACTAAAATAGGAACATTTAAGGAAATTCAAAAACCTGTAGACACAGTTGTAAAAAAGATTAGGAAGTCCACAACTGATCTAATATGCCAAATGAAACCTTTTCCGTGTAAGTCTAAGTATTTTAATTTAAGGCCTAAATTTAACAACATCAGGAAGTACAGCTTCACTACAATTCATAATCCGTTCCATCTTATTTGACGAAGACTTGACTTCAGAAAACCACCAAATTGTGAGTTATCCAAGTACATAGCAAACAGAATGTCATACTAAGAATCTCTTAAAGTACAGGATAACCATTTTTATTCTTCTGAAACCGGCTAAAAAATATGCAATTAAAAAAGCAATAAAAATTTTCAATTTTAACGTGATTATTCTTCACGCTAACCTCGCCTAGTTAACTAGTTCACCAGTTACTAGCCGGTCCTAAGCCCGGATAAAGAGGAAGGGTGGACATAGGGCTAGCAACCCTACCCCGGAAAACCAATCCAAACGCTACAGAAACTTCAAAGCACAGACAAAATGTAAAACATGAAAACAAACTTATTCCCAGCCGGAATCGAGGAGACGAAATGACACCGGTTGGTGAAAGCTTTCGTGAAGCTAATCGGCTGATGTGTCCACTCTTCTCTTGATGAAAGCAAGAGTAAACGTGGGGATATGGCATGTCCGCACCATGTTTGAAGCTGCCTGGCTGGCATGGCCGCCCAGATCGCAAAAGAGATGAGAAGATATAGCATAGAAGTGCTAGTAATCTGCAGGTGGAATGGAAGTGGACTCTCCAAACTGTCAACTGGACAGTCAATAATCTACTCCGATATTGTCAC